ATGCTAAATTTCTCCAAATCTGTTTCCATGAAGAAACAAACTCATCTACATCAATTTTTTTTGGGGGGGGGGTGAACTATTCCTTTAATAGCGAGGTGTTCATGAACAGCTCATGGATACTTCCTTACAACATTCAAATCTACAATTTGGAATAAAGCCATTATTCATCTTTTTTTAATGTAATGTAAATGTTTCTAATCTTTTGTAGCTCGTCTGCCTGTTCCTGTCATTAGCAGAGACTGTTGTTCTTCATTACCATCATCATCATCATATTGTTCATTGGTGTGTTCAGTGGTGAATGTGGGTCATGTGACTCTCTCCTGGTACAAATAGGAAACGCCCTATAGACGTATTGCAGATGCGCAAACACTCAAATAAATGCATCTTGCAGTTGTAAATGTCAAATAGACATCTCGGTGATGTACGTGTGCTATCGGGGTATCAATACGTACACGGACCCCTCCCACACCAGTATGTCAAATGTGTCAAAATGCCAAAACTAAATGTCAGAATGTTTTATTGAAGGTGGTGCGAGCACACAGTAAATTATTGTGTTAGAAAGTAAGTGCCACCTCTAGGTCAAAGTTCAAGGTCAACAATTTTTTTTTGTCAAATTTCATCTCTTCAGTATAAATAAATCAGTAAAATCCTATTAATAAGCTAACTGTACTGTAAGGTACCTTACCATGTACAGTTAAAATGTACAGATTTTACAGCAAATCTGTGTTTGCATTATATGTAATGGTCAGAGGTTTACCCACAATTTACAGAACACTTACTTTAAAAGAAAAAGTGTATTATTATTATTACTACATATTTTGTCCTTGAGGCTGAAATGACATTCAGACCAAAATTGCAGCGTTTCACTTACATTATAAAACTGTTTACGAGCACACATCCTTTAGATTGTCCACTAGAAGGAGGAAAACGTTCAAAAATGTTGTTTTGTTCATTAACACTGATCAAAACTGTCAAATTGACACCAATGTAACATACATGCAATGTATATAACAGGAATATCTGCACAACAGGCAAGATCACAGTTAATAGCAACATGTTCCATCAACAGTAAAATAACCAAAACCAAAAAAAAAAAAAAGTTAATGTAAATAGAAACGCTTTGTTATGATACTTTTCACAGGTTAACAGTATGCAGTGTTCATTTCAAACATTTTCCACTTTAAAGGCTCAAAAAGTAGAGACGTTTTATAAAAATATTGTTCATTGGTGTGTTCAGTGGGGAATGTAAGTCATGTGACTCTCTCCTGGTACAAAGGAAACAGTTTATTGTCCAGCATCAGTGTGTGTGATCTCAGCAGCAGCGTCTCTTTACATCTGGAGGTGGAATATCAGGAGAAAAACAGCTACAGCTGTGTGCTTAACAATCCCATCAGCAACCAGACCACACATCTGGACATTGGTGAACTCGGTCAGATACATTCAGGTAACATTAGTGTTTATTTATGTAAGTCAGCAGCATATTATCAGTCATTTTGTATGTTTATTGTTCTTTTATCCCCTCAGACTCAGAATGTGTCTGCTGTTGTGACACTACTAAAGCTGTGATCCAATTGGTCATCTCTGCTCTGGTGGGTGTGGCTACTGTTGTTGTTTTGGGTTTTGAAATCACATCCAGAAAATCTGATCAGAAAAGACAAACTCATACATCAACTTCAGCCCTACACTGATTCACTATTAAAACAATCATCTCTATCTTTTTTGTACCTGTTTTTTTTTTTCTTCCTTTTTTGAAAATGGTTACAAAAGGAATGTGTATTTTTTATATATATATGCATTGTTTATAATTTAGGTATAGTCAATGTTTGTGTAGAAAATAGATTTTGAATGTCTCATAATGACCAGTACCATCGAAATTGCTTTGTTCATTCAGCCTGGCAAAGACAATGAATGGGTTTGTGCTGTCTGTGTTTAATTCTCCAAACCTCCACTGCAGCACATCAAAACTTTTTATTGCAGTAACACCAGTGTTTAGAGTGACCGTCTCTCCCACCCTCACTGACACTGTCTTCAGTTCATCCGTCTCAGCCAAACTGTCACCTGGAGAACCTAGACGGGGAGTAAATATTCAGTAGAAGTATTGTATATTTTTAATAACTATAGCAGATGCATTGTTTCTTTGTAATGGCATTTGATGACAGAGAAGGGAGAAAATCAGACGTCAGTATATTAGATCTGTGTGAGTTAGGTCTTAAAGTGACAGCAGCCTAACCTCACTGCTTTTTTCCTAATAATTTTTTTAGCTTGATTAAAAATCAATGTATATTTCATTAATACGGTACTGTATTTTACATTAGAATTTTTAGATGATTAGAATTTAAATTGCTGTTTATTTTATTTGTAACATTCAATTGTGTTTATTTGTTCAATTGCTTGTAATTTGTATCTTTGTTCTGACTGTTTATGTGTTTTAAATAAGCTTGAGAAGTTTTTACTTATATTAGTAAGGCTAGTAGGGCCAACTAGTTTTTACTACAAAATAGTCTTTAAAAAAACCAGCACGAATATGATATGATATTTTTGCCATATCGCTACTGGATGCAGTAATACAGTGTCTTACCATTGTTCATCTCAGTGTATTCTTGTTTAGGGGTCTGGCCTGTTTAAACACAAACCACAGACTTAAACAATTAAGTAAATCAATTACATAAATGTGGTTAAAACTACATGCTTGCACAATAAAGCTCATCTTGCTCTATTAACTTTAAGTAAACTTGCCCATTTGATTTGTGTTCCTGTATTTCCAGTAGATACTGAGCATCCCAACTGCAGCCAAGACTAGTACAGTAACTACAACACTAACGCAGATCAGCACCATGTGACTTAAGGGTAAGCCATCTTCTGGGATTAAACTTGATGCATCCACTATAAAATAGTAGTGCAAGTTGAAAAATTTGAGAACTGAACAAATCAGTTTATATCAGCACTGACATCAACTAATATCAGCTCTGCTGTACCTGAACATGGTTGACAGAGTTGACTGATGTCCAGATGTTGAGTCTGGTTGCTGATGGGATTGTTGAGCACACAGCTGTAGCTGTTTTTATCCTGATATTCCACCTCCAGAGGTAGAGAGAGACTGATGCTGAGATCAGACACACTGATGCTGGACAATAAACTGTTTCCTTTGTACCAGGAGAGAGTCACATGACCCACATTCACCACTGAACACACCAATGAACAATATGATGATGAAGATGATGAAGAACACTGTGAAGAGTTTCTGCTGATGACAGGAACAGGCAGACGAGCTGAAGATGGAAATATCAGAATAACAGACAATCCAAAATCGTGCAGTTGAGTTTTACACATATCTATTTACCAGCATCCATGCCATCTCAGTGACTAGGAAATAAACCATAGTACTAAAAAAAATGTCATTGAGAAGTGTCCTTGAGCTTGGGAAAGGCGCTATATAAATTAAACATGTTGTTGTTATTATTATTATTATTAAAAAGTAAAAATGCAATTGTAAAAGTCCTAAACACCACCTATGTAAATTTCCACTAGTTTTGTCTCTCTGGGTCACTTGCCACAAATTACACATACCAGGCTGTGACTCAGGTCTCATTTCACCCTTTACAAAAGAAACCAGATACTGTACATTCAGCTTGGTGTTGTCTCCAAGAGGATATAGGATTATAGAAGGATAGAAAAGTTACCAAAGTAACAACCTGTGACTTGGCTAATTTTGCATTTGACCTGCTGACTGACTCAAGTGACTAGTACAGTATTCTCAATATGGTTCGATGTTGCAATACACTGAAATCAACTACAAAATACTCACCAGAAACAATAATACTGAACTTCTTTGGTGGGACCTCTATCCCACCAATGATCTGCAGTTCATAAAGTCCAGAGTCTTCAGTTGTGGTGTTTGTGACGGTCAGAGATCCAGTCCGATCATCCAGCTGCAGCCTGTCTCTGAATTTCCCATCAAGAACATCATTGTATAATGAGATCTTATTGACTACATTGTTGATTTGAGCTATACGAGTGCGGTCAGGTCCAAATGTCCACAGTATACGTTCATATTTCTGTAAATCTGTAAGATCAGTGTGTAGCGTGACAGAATCTCCCTCCATCACAAAATCACCAAACACACCTGGAGAACAAACAGAAACCGTTGCTCAGACTAACAACGTTGAGCAAATCCAAATCAGCTAATCAGACTAGATAAAGTTCACAAGGTTATTAGGCTAGTTGTTTGTGGGAAATGGTAGTACGCTAATGCAGATGTGTAATTGTGGTAGATAAATTATGCAACTATTACGCCTAAGCATGTCGCTCAACAATAACCCTGTTGAAAAAAACAGCATATGCTGGTTAGGTATGTTTTGACGCTGGGATGCTGGTTTAAGCTGGTCCTTTGCTGATTTATGCTGGTCCTTCTGCTGGTTTAAGCTGGTCCTTTGCTGATTTATGCTGGTCCTTCTGCTGGTTTAAGCTGGTCCTTTGCTGATTTATGCTGGTCCTTCTGCTGGTTTAAGCTGGTCCTTTGCTGATTTATGCTGGTCCTTTGCCAGCACATGACCAGCATAAACCAGCAAAGGACCAGTTTAGACCAGCAAAGGACCAGTTTAGACCAGCAAAGGACCAGCTTAAACCAGCAAAGGACCAGCATAAACCAGCAAAGGACCAGCATAAACCAGCAAAGGACCAGCTTAAACCAGCAAAGGACCAGCTTAAACCAGCATCAAAACATACCTAACCAGCATATGCTGTTTTTTCAACAGGGAAAGTAAATTTACATATTTATAGTTTGATTACAAATGCACACTTAAACTCAAGAAAAGTTGTTTAAATAGTTACAAAGTGAAAGCGAAAGTCTCGAAGCTTTTTAAATACTCACCTTTTGCGAGCAAAAAGCATAGAAGTAAAACAGGGGTCTTCATTTTGGTGAGTTGTGGCATTTAATGAAGATGTTGAGTGTAGTGAGTAAAATGTTACGAGTGTTTAGCCTTTAGCTCGTATCATAAATCCGCGCTGACAGCGAAAACACCCTTTTCTAACTAACATTTTTGGTTGTAACCGACCTTAACAGCACTATGTAGAGATATTTTATACCCATTGAGATTCATTTGTGAATTATATTCGTCTTCGGAATCATATTCCTGATTATTTCTCTGCTGAGAAGCCATGCAATACGCGTATACTGGCGTTGAGAAGAACGGAAGTAATATTCGATAAATGTCAGGAAGTTATTATTAGTCCTGTAGGATCCTGAAGGAAGGGTATCGACTCACGTCGCCACCTAACAATGCAAACAAAAACATTAGCTTTCACTGTTTGAAGCTCTACTATTTATCTTTTCCAAATGACTTTCCCAACTACATGTAATCACGTGATCTTGAGCTAAAATAGCTGTTTTAATAAAATAAAGTATTTCACTTTACATCACACGTGTTGACTTCAACGTAGAAAAACGCAACATTTGTTTTGTGTGTCCTGGAGGTGTCTTGCCGTTCCACCTGATGACCACTTGTGGGAAACAGTGGTGATATGACTTCTTATGGGTAGGTCAAACTGAAATCAGATTTACCCCCAAATCAACCTGACATGTTCTTCTAAAAATGATGGTCTAATTTTGAAAATCTTTATAATAAGAACCAAAATATTATTGCTAGCTGGTTTAATTTTCATTATCACATTCTATTGGGTTGCAGCAGATCAAGAGAAGATCTGCAGCAGATCAAGCGTGTGTGTGTGTGTGTGTGTTTAATTGAACTGTGACCAGCTTCTGAGACAAACTGAAACCTGCAATGGATCTGACTTCTTTTTATCTAAAGGTGGTTTTGTTTTGTTGAGTGGACGGAATAGCTTGTGTTTGTGATGTTGCATGTGGTTGAATGGCTTCTTCCTGTCCTTGTAACATGAACCACATACTTTTTCCTGTTAATATAGATAAACTAGATAAAGTAATATAGATAAAGTACACTATCAGAGTCTATCAATGCTATTTAATGCTACTTACAATTAGGTATCTATTTGCCAATGATTATTTAATATTTAATAGAGAAACAAATTAACCATTACAAGAAATCTTTACTCTTACTTTAGTAGGTTGCAGTTTGCACACTAGTAAAGTAAGATATTGAGAAGTTTTGCTTATTTTAATATCAGCAGCACCCTTAACATGATTGGCTGTCTTAAATAATAAAGAGAAGACATACTTTCTACCAATGGTTTAATATGTCGGCTAAGTAGAACAAATGCAAATGCACAGTTAATGCGTCTGCACACCACGGGGAGGGTGTAAAATAGGGGAGGATTCACACCTGGTCACATTTCGAGTGATGTTCTCTCAGACAGCACAGCAAACTGCTGATAGAAATGCTTCATGGGTTTGTTTTGTTTGGTTTGTGCTTCTGGCGTCTTGTTGGTAAGTTAAAATGTCCTTTTTTTTTTTTTAGCCCTGTTAGCTCTTGCAGTTTTATAGTGGAGTAAAAACCTACTGTTGTAAATGTATAATATATAAACTCATTTTAAGACAAAAAACTTTCAAAGACAGTAATGCATGGTTAAATAACCCACTGAGTGATATAATTCAAATAAAAATTAATGTGTTCGTCAGTAGTGATGCAATGTTGAGAAAACACTTCTTAAAACTGAAATGATTTTTGTAAATCCAGTGGTCAAATGCTGTGTGGCCTCTCAATTCTCTGTGTAATTATAGCCATCTGACTAGTGACTGGTCTGTGTGTGAATCTCCACAAAACTATGAGTCTTAATAATATGTAATAATGATAATATGTAATCATGTAATCAATAAAAAGGTAACTGTAGTCTGATTTCACAATGATCTTATCCCACTAATAATATAAATAAAATAGTTTGGTACTGAAAAGCTAAAAAGTACTTTTTTTTTGGCTTTGTCCTCAATTGACAGTCGTATCAATCAGTGGTTTTACAGTGACCATTTGAAAACCATTTGAGACAGATTTGACTTGCTATTTCAAGAAACACTCTAAACACTTAGGAAAATCAATCGTTAACATTTTCATATGACATGTTCCATTAATACACAGCTTTGTACTTTTTCTTAGTGCCAAAATAGAGAAGTGGTTTGAGAATTAATTTTGAAGTTAATTGAAACTAGTGAATCAACAGAAAGCTACTAAAGCGCTTTAGTCAGTGTTTAAAGGGGTCATATGATGATGCTAAAAAGAACATTATTTTGTGTATTTGGTGTAATGAAATGTGTAAGGTTCAAGAAACACATTATTTTCCACATACTGTACATTATTGTTTCTCCTCCATGCCCCGCCTTTCTGAAACACGTCGATTTTAACAAAGCTCATCGTTCTGAAAAGCGAGGTGCAGTGTTGTAAATACAACTTAACCACTGATTTCTAGCCGTGTCCTCTTTTGGAAGACCAAACAAAGTAGTTTCGCTTTCACAATGAAACAGCGTCACACTGTGAAAAGCTGATCCTTGAGTGAGCGGAGGCCGGTGAGCTTGCGAACGGAGCGGCCGGCAGATTCGACGAAGGAGCGTCTGGCGGGCTTGCGACAACCACATGTGACGACCCCGGGCTGGACTCCGCTTCGTCCACGGTGAAAGCC